TGTAATAATATTAAAAATTAAGCTTAGGTGAAGATATCTAACATAACTTTTAAAATAAATATCTTCAATGGTTTCTATCTAATTTAAGTATAGGTACTCTTGCTGTATTTTAGTTTTAATTTGCATGGCATATCTTTTTTCGTCCCTTCACTTTTAGTTTGTATGTGTTCCCACAAGATAAAGTAAGTCTTTCTTGTAGGCAGCGGATAGTTGCTATTGTTTTTTATCCAGTCAGCCACTCTGTATCTTTTTCTTTTTCTTGAGATGGGGTCTTGCTATGTTGCACAGTCTAGTCTCTAATTCCTGGGCTCAAGCAATCCTCCTGCCTCTCCCCCACATCTTTTAATTGGAAAATCTAACACATTTAAGTTTGAGGTAATTGTTGATATGTAAGAACTTATTACTGTCATTTTATTAATTGTTTCCTGGTTGTTTATAGATCTTTTGTTCCTTCATGTCATGCTGTTTTTCTCTGTGATTAAGTGATTTTTTTCCAGTAGCATGCTTTGATTCCTTACTTTTTATCTTTTGGGTATCTACTGTAGGTTTTTGCTTTGTGGTTACCATGAGATTTATAAAAACATCTTACGATTTAACAGGCTATTTCAAGCTGCTAACAACTTAACTTTGATCATATAAAAAACTCTACACTTTTGCCACCCCAGCACATTTTATATTTTTAATGCCACAATTTACATTTTATGTTGTATATCTCTTAATAACTTGTTGTACCTATTATTATTCTCAATAGTTTTGTCTTTTAACCTTCACTAAACATGTAAGTGATTTACATACCACCATTATGGTATTAAAGTATTCTGAATTTGATTTTTACCAGTGAGTTTTATACTTTCATATGTTTTCATGTTACTAATTTTCATATTTTTCTTTTATCTTGAAGAACTCCCTTTAGCATTTCATATAACACAGGCCAGGTGAGAATAAACTCCCTCAGCTTTTGTTTGTCAGAGAGTCTTTCTCTTTTATTTCTGAAGGAAAGTTTTGCTGGGTTCAGTAATTTAGATTGGCAGGGTTTTTTTCCTTCAACGTTTTGAATGTATGATCCTACTCTCTCCTGGCCTGTAAGACCTCTGTTGAGAAGTCTGCTGCTAGCCTTATGGAAACTCCTTTATATGTTATGTTTTTTTTGCTTCTTTTCTCTTCTTGCTTTCAGGATCCTCTCTTTGTCCTTAATTGTTGGCAATTTGATTGTAGTTTTATCTTGGAGTAGTCTTTTTTAGATTGAATCTCATTGGAGACCTTTGACCTTCCTATACCTGGATATGTATATCTTTCTCCAAATTTGGAAAGGTTTTAGCTATTATTTCTTTATAAGCTTTATATCCCATTATTTTTCTTTTCTCCTTTATGAACTCTTATAACCCAGACATTTGCTATTTTGATGCTGCTCATATATCCTGTAAGATTTCTTCATTCCTTTTTATTCTTTATTTTCTTTTTTCTCCTCTTACTGTATATTTTCAAATAGCTTATCTTTGAGTTCACAGATTATTTTTTTTACCTGATCAATTCTGAGGTTGATGCTATTACATTTTTTATTTCATTCATAGTATTTTTAAGCTCCAGAATTTGACCTTTTAAAAATATAATTTCAGTCTCTGTTAATATCTAATTTTGGTCATTTATTGTTTTCTTGATTTTATTAAATTGTTTCTCTCTCTCTCTTTTTTTTAAGTTTACTGAGATTCCTGAAAACAGTTATTTTGAATCTTTGTCAGATAGTTTGTATAGGGGTCAGCTACTAAGAAATTGTGTTCTTGTGGTGGTGTTATGTCTCCTTGGTTTTTCATGTTTCTCATTGCCTTACATTAATGTCTGTGCAATTAAAGAAATGTAAGGACTTATTCCAGTTTTGCAGACTTAAGTTTTATGGGAAAGCCCTTCACCAGTCAGCCACATCCAGAGATTCTTGGCAGGCCATCTAGTATGATCCTTGATGTGCTTGTTGCTGGCATCCTTGGGCAGGATGGCCTACTACCTGGGTTAGCAGATAGGTGGGCCTGGTACCTGGGTCCTCAGTTGGGCCTGAAGCCCAAATCCACTGCAGTGGACCTGTTGATTGGGTCTTGAGGGATGGGCCTGGAGCCTGTGTCCACAAGGGTGGGTCTGGGGCCTGTATCATCCACAGGAACCAGCCTAAAGCCTGGTCCACAGGGGCTCACCTGGTGCGGGGGTAGGGCTTGAGTCTGTAGGAGATGGCTGAACACTGGATGGGCCTGACACCTGGGACCACTGGCATGGGCCTGGAGCCTCAGTTCATGGAGGCTAGCCTAGCACTGGGGTGTCTTGGATTGTTGAATTGATCACTGAGATACCTGGTTCCTGGGATCATTGAGAAAGAACTGGAGCCCAAGTCTGCATGTGTGGTCCTGGACCCTTAGTCCAAGGGGTCTTGCCTGGTACTGGGGTATATGGGAGTGGGCATAGACCCTGAGTCTTTTAGAATAAGCCTGGAGCCTGGGGCCTCTGGAGCCTGGGGCCTGGTGCTGGGACCAGTGTGGAGCCTGGAACCAGAGTCTGGTCTGGAGCCCAGAATTGTGGATGCTAGCCCAATGCCTGGAACTACTGAGGGTGGCCTGGAGCCTGAGTCTGTAGATGCAAGCCCAGAGATGTGATGTGCAAGGGCTAGCTTAGAGGTTAGGTTCCTTGGGGCTAACATGGGTCCTGGAGCTGCAGGGCCCAGCCTGGAACTTGGTAACACAGGGATGGTCCTGGCACCTAGGTCCATAGCAGCCAATCCAGCACTGTGGTCTACTGGAACTGGCCTGGGCCCTGGGTCTGCTAGAACACTGAGTTGGAGGAGATCCAGCGAGGACTACAGGAGCCAGCCTAGAGGGTGGGGCTATGGAATCCTGCCTGGTGCTGGCGTGGGCTTGGAGGCTCAGTCTGTGGGTACCAGCCTCTTGGGGCCTATATCAGCCTCCTTGAGGGGCTGAGTCTGCAGGTGCCTGCCTTATGACTAGGGCTGTAGGGGTCTGGCCTGAAGCCAGGAGCCTTGGGAGCTAGTCCAATGCTGAGGGTGGTTGAGGCCTTGGTACTGCTGAGGTTAGCTTGATGTTGAGGTAACCTGAAGACCAACTTCACTGTGCAGGCCTGGAGGTTGGGGTTGAATGATTCAGCTTGTGACTGGGGCAGGCCTGGAGGCTGAGTCCACTGACCTGGAGGCTGTGGGGGCCTTCTTAGCACTGGTTATTATTGGCGTGGGTCCAGTTTTAGAGTTGAATGAATGTTCAGTGCTCACTTCCCTCTATTTCTCTCACACAGAGGGTATCTCTCTCCACTCTATGCCGGGGTTGGTAGAGGGCTGATGCTAATAGTGTGAAACTATCTTTCCTACCTTCTTGAATGTACCTTATGTCTGTGCTACACCCAGATGCTGCTATAATCTCCTGCCTATTTGTTTTGTTTTTTAGTTTTTTTTTGCTCTTGTGAAGTTATTTTCATGTGTGGATAGTTGTTTTAATTGATGTTTCTGTAGAGAAATGAGTGCTGAAAAGTCCTATTCCACCATCTTGATGATGTTCTTCCTAATGGTTTTTTAATTAAGACAGTTGTACATAGAGTTAAACATTAAGTTGTCTCTCCTTGCTTCTTTTCTAGCCCCACTTATCAGAGCTAACCATTTGTAAATATGGTTTATTTTATTCCAGATTTTTCTGTGCATATATTTAATTTTTGTTATTATTGGGAGTTGGATATATTGTATTTGTTCTACAAATTTTTATTCATTTAATATGCTAATTAAACATTCATTTAATATATTAATTGGCATCCCTTTGTGAAAGCATTTGGTACCAACTTATTCACTTTGATAGCCAAGTAACAATGAGAATTTTGATGTTTGTGACTCACACTGTATAGAAAAATGGATAAACTTTGGCAGAATACACTCGCTCTTAAGAATTTTAGATGACAGTATCGACCTCAAGTGTAAATGCAGAAAGTGTTGGCAGGTATTATTTATTAAAGTGATAAACACTTTAGCATACATTTCTAGATCTTAGTATACGAACATTACATTATAGTTTTGAGAGACCTGTATGAGACTTGTTTGGCCACATGAGTGTGCTAGTGTTTGTACAGTTATGAAGGATATTTGCCTACTATGGACAAAGATAGTTTGTGGTTCCTTGTAATTTCTAGACAACATTGAAGGCATTGCTTCATGTTTCTTGGACCTGTAAAATGAGAGTGGTAAAAATCTCTTACTTGATTCTTACGAGAATTGTGTGACAAGTGACGGCCCTAAAGCAAAGCATTTCTTAGGGTTGTCTGCTATAAAACACAAAATATCAAGGCTGTTTTTTGTTTGTTTGGTTGGTTTTCTGGTTTGTTTTTTGGTTGGTTCTTTGTTCATTTGTTTCAAGCAGTGTCTTGCTGTCACCCAGGCTGAAAGGCACAATCATACCTCACTGCAGCCTCAACTGCCTCAACCTCCTGGGCTCAAGTGATCATCCTAGCCTCTGGAGTAGCTAGGACCACAGGCATGTGCCATGATGCCCTGCTAATTTTTATTTCTATTTTTCGTAGAGATGGTGTCTTGCTCTGTTGCCCAGGCTGGTCTCAAACTCCTGGCCTTGAGCGATCCTCTTATCTTAGCCTCCCAAAGTGCTGGTATTACAGGAATCAGCCACTGCACCTGGCCAAGGCTGGATTTAGAAATCCAGCCTTTAATTACCAGTGTCCAAAATCATTCCATGAAGCTCATGAAATTACTGATGCCCCCATAATGATTCCTTAGAATGCCATTGCCTAGACTTATCATACTAAATAAACTCTTGCTATATCTGACATTAGAGGGATGCTTAGTATGTGTATATTAAATTTAAATTGCATACTTGAACAAAAAGCTGTTACTCTAGTCTCACAAGCACTCAAATTTGAAGTGGCATATAAAATCATATATAGTTGAGGAATGAAAATGATATCTCTAAGTATTTATTAACGTGATATATTTGTCTTCCCTTTTTTATTCACAGATCCCATTTGGAATAAACAGAAAAAGGCTGAACTTTTTACAGATAAGTTTTGTCAAGTATGTGGAGTGATGCTACAGTTTGAATCACAAAGAATTTCACATTATGAGGTAGGTTAAAAATAATGGTAATAGGGTCTAAAGCAGATTTTTAAATGTAGCAAGTAAACTTCCTATAAGTCATTTTACTTGATTCTTACAAGAATCCTGTGAAAAAGGTAGTATTATTTTCCTTTGATGGATGAGGAGACTGGCTCAGAAAGAGTTGGTAATATACTACTTGAAGTTTGGGGAATTAAGATTAAACTCAGTCTTTTTACTCCAAAGATTTTTTCTTTTTTTTTCACACCGCTCTGCCTCCCTTTGTATCCATCAAGTCATCCATCCTTATATTAAATATAAGAGAGGCATTATGAAGCTTGCATAGGAGACTAAATGTGAATCAAGGGATATTATCTAGAACTCCCAGAGTCTTTGTTTACAGCAAATGAAGACCATAAAAACAAAACTAACTAGTTGATTGAGCCACATGTTTTTAGACACAGGACCGTAGACTCCTAGAGCTAAAACAGAGAATGTTTAATGTCCTTATTCTCTTAGTTTATAGATTAGAAAACTGAGACCCAGAGGGTTAATAATTCTCCATGGCTAGTCACTGGTATGACTAAGCCTAAAAATGGTTTATTCTGATTTCATATCCAGTGTTCTTTCCCTTCATTTGGTGTTGCTTCATATTTCTACATCATCTGATGAGCTGTTGGATTTCTTTCATATCTGGTATCTAGGTTACCAAAAATACAAGATACATTCAATTAAAACTAATGTAATGCCAGTTCTCCTTTTTTAAACACCTCATCTTGTTCTTCCCATTGCTATTCTTATGGGTAATTATATTTTAGTCCTAATGTTGGCTGAAATTAAATTACTATAATTACAGATAGGGAAATTGTGTTGACTGGATTGAGAGGAGCTAGGTTTAAGTCTTAACTCCACCGCTGACTAGTTATAGAAGCTTTCGCAAGTCACTTTACCTTTCTGAACATATTTCTTGGACCTATAAAATGAGAGTGGTAAAATATCTTACTATACTTGTGAGAATTAAGTGAAATCAAATGTATGAGAGTGCCTAGCACATCTTTAAACTCCATAGATCAGATTTAGAATTAGTAATAGAGACAGACATTCAGGAGACTCTGAGATAACTACCATTTATCCATTTGAACTGTTTAAATTTACATGTGAAAAATAGCTTTTTGTGAAATCACAAAGTACTATTCACTCTAGAAAATAGGCAAAAATACGAGGAAATAAATATAATTCTGTAACTTCTTGTAGTTAACCATTACTGAATTCCTCTTTTGCTTCTGTGATTCCAATATGATTTCTAAACACACATACACATATACACATACATTTTTACAAAAAAAAAGATATACAGACTCTCTAAGTATAGTATTGTAAAATATAGCAGTATTGCAGTTTGATGGGGTTGCATTTATTAATATCTCTTTTGTGTCTGTGTGTATGTGTTTTAAGAAACCATTCTATACAGTTTTATCATATAGATACTTTCCTCTATATTATTCTAAAACTTTGAAGTTTTACTTCTTACGTTATACTCCATCTGGTATTGATTTTCGTGTATGGAGTGTGATAACATTTTTTTCATATGGGTAGCCAGTTGTTCCAGCACTATTTATTGTATCCTTACCCCATTGATTTGTAGTGGCACTTCTATCATATGCTAATTTCTACATATATATAGGTTTGTTTTGAGGCTTTTATCATGTTTTATTGTATTGGCCTGGTTTCCTATATCTGCAACAATTTCACCTTTCAAATAAGTCACAGCTTTCAAATAAGTCACAATATCTGTAGAAGAAATGTATAAGATCTTAAAAAAATCTAAAAATCATAAATCAAGTTAAAAATATATGGTACACATTAGGTGATATTTATAACCTATGTAACTAATGAAAGATTTGTGTCTAGAATATGTAAAGGATCACACGTCAATCAGAACAAGAAGCAAATAGAAAAATGGGAAAGTGGGGGCCGGGCACGGTGGCTCAAGCCTGTAATCCCAGCACTTTGGGAGGCCGAGGCGGGTGGATCACGAGGTCAAGAGATCGAGACCATCCCGGTCAACATGGTGAAACCCCGTCTCTACTAAAAATACAAAAAATTAGCTGGGCATGGTGGCGCGTGCCTGTAATCCCGGCTACTCGGGAGGCTGAGGCAGGAGAATTGCCTGAACCCAGGAGGCGGAGGTTGCAGTGAGCCGAGATCGCGCCATTGCACTCCAGCCTGGGTAACAAGAGCAAAACTCCGTCTCAAAAAAAAAAAGAAAAGAAAAATGGGAAAGTGATGTAAACAGGTCATAGAATAGATACTCAACTTCACTAATGATTATACAGGATATGGAAATTAAAATGATAGTGAACTATCATATAAGAACCATAATACTGGCAAAAAATAAAATCTAATAACACTTAACACTTCAAGATAATATAGTGAAACGCTCTCATTGCTGCATTTTGAGATGTAAACTGTATCAAAATTTTCTAATACCTGGTAAAGTTGAAAATCCACACTCTCTAGGCCAAGAATTCCACTTCTACGCATCTATTCTAAAGGAACTCTTGAACATGTATATTGGGACATCTATTTATATATGTTAATTGAAACAATGCCTCTATTAGCAAAATAAACTGAAACGTAATTGTCCTAAACAGGAAACTAGATAGGTAGCATATGGACTAGAATATTATACAGTATGTAGCATGAATGAACTAGAGCTACGTGTATCAATATCAATAAGTCTTTTTAAATTTTTTTTATTTTTTTTCAATCATAGCTTTAATAAGGTTTTGGGGTTTGGGGTTTGTTTTGTTTTATTATACTTTAAGTCCTGGGGTATATGTGCAGTTTGTGCAGGATTGTTACATAGGTATACACATGCCATGGTGACTTGCTGCATCCATTCCCCCATCATCTACATTAGGTATTTCTCCTAATGTTATCCTTCCCCAATCCCCTGCTATCCCACCCCTAGCCCCTTCACCCCCTCAACAGGACCATGTGTGTGATGTTCCCCTCCCTGTGTCCATGTGTTCTCATTGTTCAACACTCACTTGTGAATGAGAATATGAAGTGTTTGGTTTTCTGTCCTTGTGTCACTTTGCTGAGAATGGTGGTTTCCAGCTTCATCCATGTCCCTGCAAAGGGCATGAACTCATGCTTTTTATGACTGCATAGTATTTCATGGTGTATATGTGCCACATTTTCTTTATCCAGTCTAACACTAATGGGCATTTGGGTAGGTTCCAAGTCTTTGCTATTGTAAACAGTGTCATTCACAATTTAACATACGTGTGCATGTGTCTTTATAATAGAATGATTTATTACCCTTTGGGTATATACCCAGTAATGGGATTGCTGGGTCAAATGGTATTTCTATTTCTAGATCCTTGAGGAATTGCCACACTGGCTTCCACAATGTTTGAATTAATTTACACTCCCACCAAAATACTGAGTTTTATAAAACAATATGAAAAGGATATGTATCAAATGATTACATTTTTGAAAAAAAATTTACAAGGTAGTAATATATAAAACTATTTATGGATACATGTGTGTAGTAAAAAGGAATAAAAGCATAAAAGGAGATCAAGTACACCAACTTTAAGAAAGTGATTACTTACATGGAGAGAGAGAGGAAGAAAGGATTGTGAGCATGAGGGTATAGGATTGTATCTAAAATTTTACCTCTTTTAAAAAGGAAATTTGAGAGAAATGCAAAAAAAATGTGAAAACTGAATAGTGAGTATGGGTTTCAATAATATTTTCTGTTTTTCCTATACAATGGGTGTATTTCACATTTTGAAATTCTTTAGGCCATCTATGACAAACCCACAGCCAACGTAATACTGAGTGGGGAAAGTTCAAAGTATTCCCTTTGAGAAATGGAACAAGACAAGGATGCCCACTCTCACTACTCCTCTTTAACATAGTACTTGGACGACCTAGCCAGAGCAATCAGACAAGAGAAAAAAATAAAGGGCATCCGAGTTGATAAAGAGGAAGTCAAACTGTCACTGTTTGCTGATGATATGATCATTTACCTTGAAAACCCTAGAGACTCCTCCAGAAAGCTCCTAGAACTGATAAAAGAATTCAGCAAAGTTTCTGGATACAAGGTGAATGTACAAAAATCAGTAGCTCTTCTATATCCCAACAGCAACCAAGCAGAGAATGAAATCAAGAACTCAACCCCTTTTACAATAGTTGCAAAAAAAAGAGAAGAAAAGAATATAGGAATATAACTAACTAATCAAGGAGTTGAAAGACCTCTACAAGGAAGACTACAAAACACTGCTGAAAGAAATCATAGATGACACAAACAAATGGAAACACATCCAATGCTCATGGATGGGTGGAAACAATATTGTGAAAATGAGGTCTACAAATTCTGTGCCAAAAGCAACCTAGCAATTCAGTGCAACCCCCATCAAAATACCACCATCATTCTTCACGGACTTAGAAAAAACAATTCTAAAATTCATATGGAACCAAAAAAGAGCCCACATAGCCAAAGCAAGACTAAGGAAAAAACAAATCCAGAGGCATCACACTACCTGATTTCAAACTATACTATAAGGCCATAGTTACCAAAACAGCATGGTACTGGTATAAAAATAGGCACATACACCAATGGAACAGAAATAAACCTAAATACAGCCAATTGATCTCCAACAAAGCAAACAAAAACATTAAGTGGGGAAAGGACACCCTTTTCAATAAATAGTACTGGGATAATTGGCTAGCCACATGTAGGAGAATGAAACTGAATCCTCACTTCTCACCTTATACAAAAATCAAGTCAAGATGGATTAAAGACTTAAACCTAAGGCCTGAAACTATAAAAATTCTAGAAGGTAATATTGGAAAAACCCTTCTAGACATTGGCTTAGGCAAGGATTTCATGACCAAGAACCCAAAAGCAAATGCAATAAAAACAAACATAAATAGCTGGGACCTAATTGAACTAAAGAACTTTTGCATGGCAAAAGGAATAGTCAACAGAGTAAACAGACAACTCACAGTGGGAGAAACTCTTCACAGTCTATACTTCTGACAAAGGACTAATATCCAGAATTTACAATGAACTCAAACAAATCAGTAAGAAAAAAAATCCCATCAAAAGTGGGCTAAGGACATGAATAGACAGTCCTCAAAAGAAGACGTACAAATGGCCAACAAACATATGAAAAAATGCTCAACATCACTAATGATCAGGGAAATGCAAATCAAAACCACAATGCAATACAACCTTACTCCTGCAAGAATAGCCATAAAAAAAATAAATAAATAACAGTAGATGTTGGCGTGCATGTGGTAAACAGGGAAAACTTCTACATTGCTGGTGTGAATGTAAACTAGTACAGCCACTATGGAAAGCAATGTGGAGATTCCTTAAAGAACTAAGAGAAGAACTATCATTTCATCCAGCAATCCCACTACTGGCTATCTACCCAGAGGAAAAGAAGTCATTATTTGAAAAAGGTACTTGCACACACATGTTTACAGCAGCACAATTCACAATTGCAAAATTGTGGAACCAACCCAAATGCCCATCAATCAAAGAGTGGATAAAGAAACTATTATATATATATGTATATGTATATATCATGGACTACTACTCAGCCATAAATAGGAATGAAGTAACAGCATTTGCAGTGATCTGGATGAGATTGGAGACTATTATTCTAAGTGAGGTAACTCAGGAATGGAAAACCAAACATCATATGTTCTCACTGATACGTGGGAGCTAAGCTACAAGGACACAAAAGCCTTGAATGATACAGTGGACTTTGGGGACTGGAGGGAAGAGTGTGAGGGGGGTAAGGGATAAAGGACTACAAATACAGTGCAGTGTATACTTCTCGGGTGCTGGGTACACCAAAATCTCACAGATCACTGCTAAATAACTTACTCATGCAACCAAATGCCACCTGTGTCCCAATAACTTATGGAAAAATGTAATTTAATTTAAAAAATAATTAAATTCTGTAGAGAGAGTGATTGCCTTACATTATGTGCTCAGGAAATGTTAGCTTTCCTTCCCCATACACCAGCATCTTAGCTATTCTTACGTATTTGGTTATATATTTGTTACAGATTATTTCTAATGTCGCTTAAACCCAGAAGGATTTCCTTTCTCACATAAGAAAATTTGCCTAGGTTTTTTCTAGGGCTTTTATGGTGTTAAATCTTATGTTTAAATCTTTAATCCATCTGGAGTAGATTTTTGTATAAGGTGTAAGGAAGGGGTCCAGTTTCAGCTTTCTGCACATGGCTAGCCAGTTTCCCCAACACCATTTATTAAACAGGGAATCCTTTCCCCGTTGCTTGTTTCTGTCATATTTGTCACAGATTAGATGGTTGTAGATGTGTGGCATTACTTCCGAGGCCTCTGTTCTGTTCCATTGGTCTATATGTCTGTTTTGGTACCAGTACCATACTGTTTTGATTACTGTTGCCTTGTAGTATAGTTTGAAGTCAGGTAGCATTATGCCTCCAGCTTTGTTCTTTTTCCTTAGGATTGTCTTGGCCATGCAAGCTCTTTTTGGTTCCATATGAAGTTTAAGATAGTTTTTTCCAGTTCTGTGAAGAAGGTCAATGAAGAAAACCTAGGCAGTACCATTCAGGACATAGGCATAGGCAAGGATTTCATGACTAAAATGCCAAAAGCAATAGCAACAAAAGCCAAAATAGACAAATGGGATCTAATTAAACTTAAGAACTTCTGCACAGTAATTGAAACAGTCGTTAGAGTGAACCAGCAATCAAGAGAATAGGAAAAAAATTTTGCAAGCCACCCATCTGACCAAGGGGTATTATCCAGAATCTGTAAAGATCTAAACCAAATTTACAAGAAAAAAAAAACAAACAACCACATCAAAAAGTGGGCAAAGGATATGGACAGTTTTCAGAAGAAGGCATTTATGCAGCCAACAAACATAAGAAAAAATGCTCATCATCACTGTCATTAGAGCAATGCAAATCAAAACCACATTGCAATACCATCTCACACTGGTTAGAATGGTGATGATTAAAAAATCTGGCAACAACAGATGCTGGAGAGGCTATGGATAAATAGGAATGCTTTTACACTGTTGGTGGGAGTGTAAATTAGTTCAACCATTGAGGAAGACAGTGTGGTGATTCCTCAAGGATCTAGAAGTAGAAACACCATTTGACCCAGCAATCCCATTACTGGGTATATACCCAAAGGATTATAAACCATTCTATTGTAAAGACACACAGAGTGTGTTCATTGCAACACTGTTTACAATAGCAAAGACTTTGAACCAACCCAAATGCCCATCAAAGATAGACTGGATAAGGAAAATGTGGCCCATGTACACCATGGAATACTATGCAGCCATAAAAAAGGACGAGTTCATGTCCTTTGCAAGGACATGGATGAAGTTAGAAACCAACATTCTCAGCAAACTGACACAAGAACAGAAAACAAAACACCACGTGTTCTCACTGTTAAGTGGGTGTTGAACAATGAGAACACATGGACACAGGGAGGGAAACATCATGCACTGGGGTCTGTTGGGGGTAGAGGGCTAGGGGAGGGATAGCAGGTGGTGGGGGATTAAGGAGGGGTAACAGGAGAAATACCTAATATAGGAGGATAGATGCAGCAAACCACCATGGCATGTGTATACCTATGTAACAATCCTGCACAGTCTGCACATATACCCCAGAACTTAAATTAAAAAAAAAAAAAGAATTTGCAGGTAGGTAGTACAGGGCTGACATGACAGCTTGATGACATTATCAGGGACTAGGCATGTTCCTTCTTTCTGCTCTGATGAACTGTTTTTCCTCCTGAATGTCTACCATGGTCCAAAGATGACTGTTGGAACTCCATCCTTTGTATCTTACTTCCAGAAGCAGGAAGGAAGTAGGGTAGAACAAGAGCTTATGGCCCAGTCATTTAAGGAGGCTTCCCAGAAGTTCTGCATAACACTTCAAATTATAGCTTATTGACCAGAATCTAGTCACATGGCTACATCTTGCAGAAAGGAAGGCTGAAAAACATAGTCTTTTAGCTGGGTACATTGTTCAAGATCAGTGACTAAGTAAAAAGAAGATATTTGATATTGGGCAGCAGCTAGGAATCCATTTCAAAAGCAAGAATCTGAGTTATTGGCTTCTAAATTTATTATTATTTTCATTTTAACCAACATTTAGAGATTTGAAGACATGTGGGTCTGTACCAAGTTTGACTAAATATATTAACATATGAGTGAAATCCTCAAATTAAGAAAGGTATAAATTTTGAATGACTCTTTTATTGAATAAACAAAGTCGTATTATATCTTTTTTCAGGGTGAAAAACATGCTCAAAATGTTAGTTTTTATTTTCAAATGCATGGAGAGCAAAATGAAGTGCCTGATAAGAAAACGATGATGCATGTTGATAATTTTCAGGTGAGTAATGTATGTTGATATGGCAATTCTAAACTTTTAGTTATTGAATCTTTCTAACAAGATTGTGCCTGTTTCAGGTGCATAGGAATGAAGGAGTAGACAAAAACAAATTTTGTGATATCTGCAACATAATGTTTAGCTCCCCACATATTGCTCACTCTCACTATGTGGGAAACGTCCATGCTAAAAAACTGAAGCAATTAATGGAGAAATATGATCAGGCATCTCCACCAGGATTTCAACCAGAGATGGGTAAGATTCTGTTCACCTCTTTATCTACCTATCATGTTTGGTTTAACCCTGCCATACACTTTTTATTGGGGAGACTTTGACCCCAGTTGATATAACTTCATCATTATTCTTCTGCCCAGTTAATCTCTATCTCTTTGTCATTCAATATGAAGATTTTAATCACTAGCTGATTTTTAAGAAACGTTATGACCTCTCCTTTTCTGTTCACCAAATCCAAACAATAGCAAGTGATTTGCTGTACTGCTATAAAGAAACAACAGTAAGCAGCTGGAGCTCTGTCAGTTTCTAATCAAATAATAAAATCTTCACTTTTTTCTTCTTCCCCTTGGCATCTTTTTTCCTTTAGTATTTTACAAAACATCTCATATGAGTGTTCAAATCAATGTCTTCACCAGAATGTAGTGATATGTTTCCTGCTAACTATAAGCAAAAAAAAGTTACTGAATTTCTTTCTATCATGACAGCCTATTTCTTTCTCCCTAAAGTACTACCAGCATCATCAATTAGTTACTGAGTACTTATTTTATGTTAAATCCTAAAGATACAGGGAAGTATAAAACATTATGTCTTTCCTTCTTCCAGTGATGTTGGGTCACCAGTGCATATGAGAAAACTGACCCAAAGTTGCCTGAGATGGCAGAGTATACCCTGGAAAACCCAACTTGTATTTTTCTAAGTGCATGTGCTAGAACAAAAAAAGATGGTCGATCCTCTGTAGTAAATAATTTACCACATTCTTTGTAACTTCAACACTTTAGGACTAAGGCACTCCTGGCATGGAAAATTCACCATAATTAATTCTGAACTCATAGTATAAATGTCACCCAGAAAAATCAATGCTATGAGATATGTTATTAAAACTTTCATTTTATTAATAAATGAAATCAGAATTATTTTTAAATTTAGTCTCTAATTTTTGTACGTTTTTTCTGCCTGTAATTGAAAAGATAAATAAAATCACTATGCCCTACAAGAAAAAACATTTTGTAAAAGCTTTATCTTCAGTCCTCAAATTTATCATCTTGAGCTCAGAGAGGAGGATAAATAAAAGAGGTATGAAATACTGGAATTGTGGGAACATATATAGTTTTATAGTCTTAAACAACTGTATATATTTTATTCTGATGCAGACATCACAAAGGTAGAATGAATGGATGCCTTACTATCTTACTCAAGAAAGACTAACTTAGAAGTTAGTATCATGTTTTATCCTCACTAATTTCAAAGAATAATCTTAAGATGGCTATCATGCTTTCACTGATTTTATATGGATATAATTAGGCAATTCCTAATACAGAACATTTTTTCCTTCTCATATCAAACTTGGTGACAGATTAATATTCACATTTTCATTCTCACAGAAGGAAATTCTTTTTTACTTTAGAACCTTTATCCAGCAGCTATCTGTTGGGGAAAAAAATGCCCAGAGAGTGGGGTTTTAGAGAATTCTAAAGTTCCCTAGTACTTTATAATATATGCAGTTTTAATATCTGAACATGTGTTTATCACTTCTTATTACAACTATTTCAGCAGGAGTGCCTCTTACTACTTCTGCAGCGTCAACCTTCCTGAAGCCCCTTGCTGTCAAGCCTCCTCCAGGTGGGATTAAAGACAAGACTCTGCCTTCCTCTTCCAGCAGTGATTTGGGTTTAAATAATCCAAACAAATTTTGCAAGCTCTATCCTGCTTCCTTCAATAGTCCAGTAATGGCCCAGCAACATTATGTTGGGGAAAAAAATACAAAAGAAATGAAGCTAGGAAGACATTTGTAATCAAAATAAGAGAGAAAGTGCTTCCAGAAAAATCAAATGCAAATGGTAAACAGTAAAGTTTTCACAAAACTTTTTCATAGGAAGTTTGTATTTTATAAAACATTTACTAGCTTATTTACATACCATTTTACTGTTATTGAGTGAGAGGTTGATAGTATTCATGGAATAATAGAATTTTAGATAAGTAAGGACTTTCAAGTCCATGTAGCTTGATCTGTTCATTTTCTAGGAAATGAAACCCTGAATGGTTCAGATGATCCCTATTAGTTTTAGAATCAAATACAGGAATTCTCATGGTTTCATGTTATTTTAGGTAAATAAGGTTCCTTAAGTACATATATAAGAAAGCATTTTAAATTAGTATCATGTGGTTATATCATTTTTTTTTACTAAGTATCGTTTAAGTGTCTCTTTGGTGCTAGACTAGTCATTCTTGGGAATACAGTTACCTAAAGGAGCAAGTATGTAAACTAGTTAGGTTAATAATACTTCATTGCAAGAGCTGACAGACATGCATTTTTGTGTACATATTTTTGGTAACTAGGGGAGTGAAGCATAATGTTCCAGAAAAATATTCACATATTTAGATGATTTTCAATTGATTGAAGTGGGAAGAAGAAAGGATGAACCAAAGGGCTTGGAGCTAAGAAAGAATGGCAAGAATTCAGGCACAATAAAGAGACTGATCCTGACCAGAGTGATCCACTTGCTCTTCTAACCATATTTTTTTTTTCATTTTTCCCCCCACAGGCACCTTCTCACTACTAGTGTGTTTTATTACCCTTTCATATTCTCTCTTCCACCCACTTCTTTTCTTCCACTCACTATTATTTTTCAGTTCTTTCTTTACCCTACCTTTCTGCTTCATGTGAAAATGTTCATTATTCTCTCCTTCTTAAAGCTCTTTTCTTTGTCATATGTAACTCTTTATGCACTGGTTCTTCTCCTGTATTTCTGTTTCTTTTTTGTTTTCTCTGTGGGCTCTTTTTTTATTCATTACCTAGATGTAGGTATTCCCATGGTTTCATCCTTGACCTTACTCTACAAACACGATTTCTATTTCCCTGGTTTCATTTCTCATCTGTATGCTTATGACCTTTCTGTCAAGCATTAGATTCACATATCCAAATGGCAGCTACTGCTTCACCTGGATGCCTCATAGCCATTTCAAATCCACCTAGTCATTCAAAGTAGAAACCTGCAGGTAACTATGAACCCCCAAACACCACCTTCTTCACTTCGTATATCTAATGAAGCACCAAGCTGTGATTCTTTTACCTCCTGAATAGTACTCTCCCCTTCTCTCCAGCCCTGCTCTTCAGGTCCTCAAGATCTTTCCTAGAGGTTTGCTACTCAGAGTGTGGGTTGTGGATCAACGCCATTGGCATCATCTGGGACCTTGTTAGAACAAAGACTGTCAGGCCCCACTGCAGGCCTACAGAATCAGAATCTGCATTTTAACATGATCCGTGGTGATTTGTACTTAATAAGTTTTGAGAAGCAATTGCCAGAACCTCTTAACTACTTTTTCTGCCTCCAGTTTTGTTTCCCCAAACCCACCCCCAATTTAACCACTAGAGTGTTTCACTTAAAGTGTAAGTATTTCCATGTGTCATTACCGTTCTTTAAAACCCTTCATTGTTCCTTCATCTTCTAAATATAAAATCTAAGCTCCATAGCTCCCCGTCATCTTGTTTCTGCCTGCCTTCTCCAGGCTTATCCCCTGCTACTTCCTGGCATGATCTATGTGGGTCAGTACCTGCAAACCATATATGGTTTCCAGAAACCATTACCCTGTTTTTTGTCTCTGTGCCCTTGTTCATGCTGCCACTTTGTCTGGAATATCCCCATAACACTCTTCTCCTAGCTAACTCCCACTCATTCACTTACTTCAAGGTTCATCTTCTGTGCTTCCTTAACCTGCACTTCTAATTCTCTCTCCATGTGTCTGTCTCCCGTTTGAATGTAAGGTCTTTGAGGCAAGGGACTTCATCTAATTCATCTGTATTTCCAGTGCTGCAGATAGAAACTGGCACAGAAATAGGCCCACTTCAATGGAGATTAGCTTAATATGTGAATCAGAGAACTATTAATTATTTTTATTTATTGAGTTCTTACCCTGTTTTTTTACTCTTCCTACTTAGTGTGATTCAACATATCCCAGAAAGTTACATAGAGATATGTGTTTTAATCTAGGATTGTGAAGAATGTTGATTTAGGCAAGTGTAGAAATAGAAGTGGTGGGGCTTCTGAAAGTAGGAGTATATGTTCAGAGAAATGACAGCTTCCACTTGTTAATGTATTTTCCTGTTGCTAGATTGAGGGTATCTGAAAGAAGCGGCTTCAAATTTTGTAGCATTAGGTACATTTGAACTGAATTAACTTTGAGAAGTGTGTGCACTCCTGTCACTTCTAAATGGTGAGGGCCGTTTTGGTACTCTGAAGTTTTACATTATTAGAATGAGGAAAAAAGGGTTTTTGTGAAATCTCATCTGATGGTGAAGGAGAGGGGATGATCATCAGCATAATTTAATCCAGTCATTGGAATTGCTTTACATTAGTCTCTGAAGCTAGAACTCAAGGAACAGATTTTCAACTCTGCCTTGGGTTTCATTTGAGAGCAGTTTCATTTTGAGAGCAGTAAACATTTGAACATTTAAAAATACCTGGAGAATTTAAATTAGCTAATGAGAATTTCAAAGAACAGTAACAGCAGAAGCCCTCATTACAAGTAAACAAGTGGTAATAATTTAACATATGCCATCTTAACTGTTTCACTCATCACCCATTTTCTTCTGTCTATCTTCCTCTCCATCTGCTGTTGTTTATATACGTTTCTTCCATTTCTAATGTTTCTCTTTTTCTTCATCATTCTCACTGCTTCCTTTATGTCCCTCATCCAGCTCAGATCTTATTAGCACAGGAATGGCTACCATAATGATATGGAACTAAAGTATGTATGTATTTTTATTTATTGTATTTGTTTTGTTTATCTTACTAATTTTTGGCCCCATTATTGCACTTAGATGTCTCAACTTCACCTGTAACTCAACATACCTAAAACAGAATTAATAATCTTCTCTACAATCAACTTGAATTTCCTGAGTTTTCCATCTTTGCTAGTAGTTACAATGTTTATTAGTCACCTGTACTTGAATCTTTGAGACTATCTTTAACTACTTGATTATCTATATTCTATCCATCAGCAAGTCTTATCAAATCTTAGAACTATTTCTCCTTTCTGTAGTCCTTCATTACATTTCTACTACTATCACCTCACACCATAATGCTGTAACAACCTTCTGGAAAGCTTTACTTGTACCTCATTGTTATTCTCTCACTCCCTATTAGCAGGATTTCAACCCTGGATCATTTCCACCCTCTATATTTTCTACTTCTGCATTCAAGCCTACTGACTGATGCTATGGAAAATTATAAAGTATAGGGACTAGGGAAGCTTTAAGAGTCTTGGTACCTAACCTCTTTGGGCCTTTAGTCTTACTTAATCTGTTTCCTTTTTCTTCACTTTCCCCTTAGCAACAGTTTTAAACCTACATCATTCTTCAATACTCTTTTCCCCTGCTCTACAATCCTCCTCACACTTCTCAGACAAGCTCCTTTGTTATTTTATCAAGAAGAATTTGACCATCAGATGTGGGTTACTATCAAGTATCTTGGTTTAACCAAATACTCCTGTAACCCTGAATTCTCATTTAACTACTACATTCTCCCCTTCCCTCCTTAGCCAAGATATTTTAAAAATGTAGTCCACTCTTACTGTCTTCACTTATTATTCACAACTCACTGCCATTTGTTGGCACTCATTCCCTCAACCTTCACACCACTAGCCTACCACTTCACTGTAACTACTACTCACAATGCCAAAGTGACTTCTAAATTTGTAAATCCAATAGACATCTTTATTTAGCTCCTTTGACATTACTCCCTCCTATTCATTCTTATAATTTGCTGTCCTTTGCTTTGGTGGACTTTTCATAGGCTCATCCTTCTCTACCATCTTTCTTCAAAGAATGGCATTCTCCAGGGTTTTACCAGTGTGTTGCTATTCCTGTGCCCACCCATACATTATCTTCAGGAGATTTCATCCACTCTGATTATTTTGACTACCCACCCCCATCCATGTTCTGACATCTCCAAAATCTCTCTGGCCTATTTTCTGCCTTTCATACTCCTGTGTATAACTGCCTGTTGGACACCTTTACATGAAAGTTTGGTAGATATCTTAGACTCTGTGTTCAAACTTAGACTATTCGCCACTGCCTACTCTCCTACTCATTAAAACAACACATGCATCTGAAGTCCCAATTTCAGTTAATGGGATCACCACCCACCCACTTACAACATTAGATTTCTGGGAATTGTTTTAGACTTCTCTAGATTCTCTCCTCTCCCCTGTCCCTCACATTCAACCTGTGATTAACTTTTGCCAGTTTTAAAGTTGAATGTTATACCAATCTCCCTGCTTCTCTCTACCCCTACTGAGACCCATCTAGTCTGTGTCCTCATTATGTCTTGCCTGATCTACTTACTTCTAGGCTTACTCTTCTTAAATTAATCTTTTGTATTGCAGTCACAGAAAAGACTCATCTAAAACACACGATTGACCAACCATGCCACTTACTACTTAAACCACTTCTAGGTTTCCCAAAACACAGAATACAAAGTCTAGGATCCTTAGCATAACATATAAGTCTCTCTTTGATCTGACCCATTTTGCCTTTTCCCATCTCTTCCCCTTATGTTTTACTCTACAACAATCCCAAATTTTAAGAAGTTCCTGTAAGCACTTTTTTCATGATTATTTTGTACCTAAAACGCTCTTCTCAACTCTTTTCAAGTTAACTATTTATCATCTCTCCAAGTTTAGCTAAGACATCATCTCTTCCAACAGCTTTTTTCAGACCCCCATATTATGCTGAGTGCCTCTGCTTCTTTGTGCTTGCATACCTCTTAAACATACCTCTTTTACTTTTACCAAGTGAGACTGAAATTTTTTGTTCATGTGTCTTTCTCACACTAGATTTGTGAGCAACTTGACTGTTTTATTCATCTTGTATTCATCTGGCATCTAACCTGATGCTTGGTGCATAGGTATTCAGTGTTTATTAAACAGATTATTTGGATTCAACACATTGTGCTCATTTCTGTCTCCACCATACCTGATATTATTTTCATCCCTTGGAATGCCCTTACCTGCTTTCTTACAAATTCAAATCCTTTCTGTCCTCAAAGATCCATCACAACTTCCCTTACTGTTCTAGTTCTTGGTGTTCTCCCCTCTCTCTGATTTCTCATAGCCTTTACTATTCACTAAAAATTTCATCAATTATAGCCCCTCAAGGAAATTAGCATCCTTGAGACAAAGGATAACATTTTATTCTGCAGTATCCTTCTTAGTGCTTTATATGGTAATGAGGACATAATTTTTTCTGAATTCATATTTGTAAATTGAGAGGCAGTGTTGTATAGAGGGATAAACATAGATTTGGAGATACACTTATAGTCACTTGCCAAATTGCACCACAGATTCCTCTGATATAAAATGAAAATGATGTGACTCCACAGGATAATAATTAACTGAAGTAGTATATATAGTACCCAGCACAGAATAGGTTGGTAACAAATGTTAGGTTTGTAAAAATGTTTTGTCCTGTCATGATTTAAAAATAGGTAAATTGGACATTTTCTATTTTTCTTTATAACATAAATCCAATAGTTACATGCAGTTTTTTTTCCAACTTTTATTTTAAGTTTATGGGTACATGTGCAGGTGTCCAGGTTTGTTATGTAGGTAAATGTATGCCATGGTGGTTTTGCTGCACAGATCATCCCATCACCTAGAGATTATGCCCAGTATCCATTAGCTATTCTTTCTGACAGCTGCAGTTTTGATTATGTGCAGTTCTCGATTGGTTTTTCCCAATTTAAGGTGTTAGACCAGTGGTTCTCAACCTTGACTAATTAGAATCATGCAAGGAGCTTTTAGAAATCCCATTGCTCAGGCCATCCCTTCAATCAATTAAATTACCATCTCTGGGACTTATAATTTGTGTTTTGTTTTCTCTTTTTTAACTCCCTTCGTGATTTTTATATGAAGCCAAGATTGAGAGTAGTGTTAGGCATGCACCTTCCCAATTCATGCTTTGAAAACAAGGACCATAGTTCAGAGACTTGTAAGATAGGGCTATTATGAGGGGAAGAGTAGGCCCCACAAATATTAGGTTATTGAAGATTCTGAACGGTACAAGATACAAAGGAGCCTGAGTTTCTGGATGAACTCACGAACAAGGAATCCTAGAATACCTGAGAACAGAACAGGACCATGGAGTAGTCTCTGGAATAAAAGAGTGGAAGGTATAAGAAACATAATGGAGGCAGGCCCCAGGAGGATTCAATCACGAATTCTGATCTTAGGGCCAATGAATAGGCTTCATATCTTCACATGAAGGATTTACACGACTTTTATATGTCATTTTCTGAGATGTCTGAATCCTAGAAAAAGATAAAGACCATCAGTATGTGGGGGGGAAAAAAGGGCTAAGGTAATGGTAATCAGACCACACAGTTCTAGAACTGCCTCTGGGTCTTTCATACATGACTGGCAGTTCTTCTAAACCTCTATGTTACCTCTATTACAACATTGTTTCTGATGTAATTTATGGAGAAACAAAGCAGGAACTGAGGCGAACATATATACAGTATACTTTATAAGCACTAAATAAATATGTAAAAACTGAAATATAACCTGAGTTTTTAGTCATAATGAAGATTATTTCCTCAATATTCTAGGGTAGAGGTATCTTTTGGCTTCCATGGGTCACTTTGGAAGAATTGTCTTGGGCCTCACATAAAATACACTAACAATAGCTGATGAGCTAAAAAAAATAAAAATAAAAATAAAAATTTCATATGTTTTAAGAAAGTTTGTGAATTTATTGGATCGCATTCAAAGCCACCCTGGGCCACATATGGCCCATGGGCTGCAGGTTGGAGAAGCTTAATCTAGGGCAAGTGCTCAATGGTGGCTGGACAGTTAAATCATATGGAAAGCTTTCAAAAAGTAAGGATAAAAATCACCTGGGGTGTTAGTTAAAAATATAGATTTTCAGGCTCTCCTCTGGAGAACATGACTCAATATTCTCCTCCTAGAGATTCTGATTTAATTGGTCTGATATGGAGCGGTAACATCAATAATTTTAAATTATTTTATGTGATTCTAATGTATAACCAGCATTGAGAACCATTAATCCAGAGGAAACCAGAACTTCTGCTTATCTTGCACCACTTGGGTACCCTCAAAATGTATTGGTAAAGTTAATCTAAGCCTTAGTTAGAGCGACTATAAAAAATAGTAAGATTTTCCTAAGAGTTTCTTGTGAATATGTACTCTCCTGGGTTTAGTCCTTAGCAGGAAGTCCAAAATCCTCAAGTTGATCAACCTCAATCAGGGACTCACTAACCACAGACAAACTTGAAAGAGGCTGATAAATAACTGAGGAACTGGAAAGATATTACTTTAATATGTTTTTCACAAGGCCTGTGATAATTATTTGCTATATTTGTGATAATAGAAATTTTTTGTCCCTCACCCAGAAACATTAAGTCATGTTCTCCAGAGGAGAGCCTGGGAATCTATATTTTTAACTAACACCCCAGGTGATTTTTATCAGAGAAGTCTTGGAAACACTGTACTTTAAGTTATTGTATTGTTCTTCTGGTATTGATTTATGGTATGAGGCAATAGATATTTCCATTTCCTAGTTTTTCTTGATATATATCATCCATGGTATCCTTTTTTTGGTATCAAAGAATATGAGAAACCAAATTATAATATGCATGAAATTAGACCACAGAGAAGGATAGTTTTGAGGGTTCATTTCATTCAGGTTTTGACATAACCTGCTGAGTTTTCCTAGGCTCACAGTAGAGTATATGTCCTTAGTGTGCAGTCTCATATTCTGTAAAGTCAGCATCTTTCTTTCCCCTTGTAAGCAGTCTCCTGTTTCTATGAAGAGTCTTTGCTCAGACATGGCCAATACACTTGATAATAATTAATTTAGGTTCTTTTAAATGATTAGGTCACTTTTTGGTTTAAAAGAAGATGCGCTTGATTGTCCTTAAAATCTTTGCAGGTACCAATTTATTTCCTTCTCCTTAGGGTCAGAATAATTTTATATTTGGCTTATGAAATGTATTAATTTGCTTCTTCTGATCAAAGATGAAGTGGAAGGATGATGAGATTAGAAAAATAAAAATTAATTTATTCCTTGATTCTAATTCTATGAAGCAGAATAGTGTGCTAGCTACTATATAATTCCTTTCATAATAGTTCTTGACTCTTTTGAAGTGGTAACTAGTAGTTTTGTTTTAGAATTTTGCTTTCAGCTTTTATCCTGAGAGTGGGGCTCACTAAACCTCTCTCCTTTCTAAAATCTGTGGAAATTACTTTTGGTAACTAATGCACTGCAGTGACTTCAGGTAAGAGAGTAAAAAATTTGCCTTTATTTGTTTTTAATGTTTTGGGACATTTCAGCTTTTGGTTGGGTGGGAACAGAATTGGGGGCAAACAAAAAGAAGTTGGTTAAGATATTCAGAAGCAAAGGTTGGTTGGCCATGCTAAATTTCAGGTGCCTGTTGCACCTCCATGTAGCAACAGTAAGCAGACAAATAGCATATTTTTAGGGAATAAGTCAAGCTGGAGAAGCAGTCTGGTGTAGTATAAAGAATTATGGCCATTCAATTAAGAGAGGCATGGACTCTGAGAGGCTAACACTACTACTAACTTGCTTTGTGACTTTGACCAAATCATTTGACCTCTCTGGGCCCCATCTTTATTGGAAAATGTAAAGTAAATGGTCTTTAATAAATTCTTTTACAGTTCTAACGTTATGTGATTCTAAATATATTTATACTGACCTTCTTAACTTGAACTCTCTGTTTTTTCAGCATTTAGTATGAGAACCTATGTTTGCCATATTTGTAGTATTGCTTTTACATCTTTAGATATGTTCCGGTCCCACATGCAAGGAAGTGAACATCAGATTAAGTAAGTATTTTTGCCAAAATTTTCCTATGATGCATAACACTAGAGCTTCTAGTTAAGCACTCTAATGTATTTTTACAAACTTCTTAGGCATCCATATGCCTATGAATTAAACCTGGGTATGGTTGGCAGTATTTGTAACTTATTGCATACTCGTGTCCCTCAGGGAGTTCTCCAGTAATGATAGTGTACTGACAAAGCTAGCTAACTGGCACCCCTCCTGACTAGAGAGCAGTGTTCTTTGGAGAGATGCTAAAGAGTCACTCTGATACTAACTCCCCAAATTCAGAGAATTTCTGGAAGGTTTGCCCTGTTCCAGGTATTCAGTGATCCAGTGATCCAGTGATCCAGTCATTATTTTTCCAGTGGGGTATAGTGGTTAAGAATAGAGGCCTTGCTGTTAGATAGACCTAGATTAGAATACTAGATCCATTTTTCTACCAAGTGTGTAACTTTGGACAGTTCTTATATAAGATTGTTACAATGAAATATAATATGTGTAAGGTGCCTGCCCTGGCACATACTAAAAATTCAATAAATATTTAGTCCATTTTATTCTGTTATTTCAAAGAGAGGAGAATTGAGTGGACAGTTGGAGACTGGGTAGTTTAGTTATCAAGTCAGAGGGTGTTTGACTATTTATCATTGTCTTGATGCTTTTAAAGTCAAGACATAGAGCCAGGCCTGGTGGCTCATGCCTCTAATCCCAGCACTGTGGGAGGCAGAACCCAGGAGTTTGAGACAAGTCTGGGCGACATAGTGAGACCTTATCTCTACCCCCAAAAAAGAAAAATTAGCCAGGTTTAGTGGCATGCACCCATGGTCACAGCTACTTGGGGAGCTGAGGTGGGAGGATCGCTTGAGCCCAGGATGTTGAGGATGCGGTGAACCATGATCACACCACTGCACTCTAGCCTGGGCAACAGAGTGAAATCCTGTCTCAAGAAAATAAATAAAATAAAATGAATAAAATAAATCAAGACATATTGTTTCTGTTACAGTTTTATTCTAGTAGAAAATATTTCTATTATTTGAATTGAATACTTAGAAGCTAAATTGTCTGACTTGCCCAATTAACCTACATTTACATTCCTTTTTTTGAGATGGGTTCTTGTTATCTTGCCCAGGCTGGAGTGCAGTGGCTATTTGCCTCATCATAGTGCAGTACAGCCTCGAACTCCTGGGCTCAAGCAATCCTCCTGCTTCAGCCTCAGTAGCTGGGAATACAGGTGCATGCACCTCACCTGGCTAGATTTATAATTTAGACTTTAAAAAACCTCGAGATTACAGAATAAATACCTATCACATTTATAAGATGTATATAAGGAACTGACTAATGAAAACTTTAAAAACAATATGACAGTCAAATCAGAGCATCTGTGAGGACATTAAATATCATTAGTTCCTATGCATACATTCCAATATGCCTCAACATTTTTAGTGCTACGACATCAGATAAGTCTGCTCCTTTATACCCATCTTCCCTTTCATCTCGGGCCTGAGGAAGTTTTCCTCTTTTTTTTTTTTTTTTTTGCGTAAAAATTGTGAGGGGCCTGGGAGATATACCACTGTCCATACTGCTTTTTGGGGGGCATGAAAACGTCATGATTTATGGCTTTTACAATGAAGTAAGTTCCCACTGTTCATGCTGCTTTTTTTGGCATAAAAATTGATGAGTTATAGCTTTTATAATGAAGCAGCTTTTTAAAATTCGAACATTTGTTGTTTTTCTTTTTTCAGACTAATACTTTTAAGAGCAAAGAAAATATTCAGTATAAAATAATCTAGTAACAAGAATTTTCTACTGTCTTCTTTACAGAGAATCCATTGTTATCAATCTAGTGAAGAATTCAAGGAAGACACATGACTCTTATCAAAACGAATGTGCAGATTACATCAACGTGCAGAAAGCCAGAGGACTAGAGCCCAAGACTTGTTTCAGAAAGATGGAACAGAGTTCTTTGGAAACACACAGATACAGAGAAGTGATTGATTCCAGACCCAGACATAGAATGTTTGAGCAAAGGCTCCCATTTGAGACTTTCCGAACATACCCCATACCATACAATATTTCACAAGCAGTGGAAAAGCAGTTGCCTCATTCAAAGAAGACATATGACTCTTTCCAAGATGAACTTGAAGATTACATCAAGTACAGAAAGCCAGAGGACTGGATCCAAAGACTTGTTTCAGAAAGATGAGAGAGAACTCTGTAGATACTCATGGACATAGAGAGGTTGATTCTGGACCCAGACCAAGAATGTGTGAGCAAAGATTTTCACGTGAGGCTTCTCAGACCTACCAACGACCATACCATATTCCACCAGTGGAAAGCCAGTTACCTCAGTGGTTACCGGCTCATTCAAAGAGGACATATGATTCTTTCCAAGATGAACTTGAAGATTACATAAAAGTGCAGAAAGCCAGAGGACTTGAGCCAAAAACTTGTTTCAGAAAGATAGGTGATAGCTCTGTAGAAACACAGAACAGAGAAATGGTTGATGTCAGACCTAGACATAGAATGTTGGAGGAAAAGATCCCATTTGAGACTTTTCAGGCCTATTCAGGACCGTACAGTATTTCACAAGCAGTGGAAAACCAGTTACCTCATTGTTTATCAGCTTATGACAGCAAACAGAGACTAGATTCTATTAGCTACTGTCAACTCACCAGAGACTGTTTCCCAGAAAAACCAGTACCCTTGAGCCTTAATCATCAAGAAAATAACTCTGGCTCATACAGTGTGGAATCTGAAGTTTATAAGCACCTCTTCCCAGAAAACAATACTATTGACCCTCAAGCAGGTCATAAACGGAAACATCAGAAGAGAAGACGACACCTGGAAGAAGGCAAAGAAAGGCCAGAGAAAGAACAGTCCAAGCATAAAAGGAAAAAGACTTACGAAGATACAAATTTAGACAAAGACAAGAGCATCCGACAAAGGAAAAGAGAGGGAGATAGAGTCAGGGTTAGTTCAGGAAAGCTTAAGCATCGAAAAAAGAAAAAAAGCCACAATGTACCTTCTGAGAGAGAAGAACGTAAGCACAGGAAAGAGAAAAAGAAATCTGTTGAAGAAAGAACAGAAGAGGAAATGCTTTGGGATGAGTCTATTCTTGGATTTTGAATGTTTAGTTTTGTTTACCCAAGGTTAAATTGAAAAAACAGTATGAATTTAGAAAAAGACCACAACATCTGATAAAGAAAAGAAGAGGTAGATACAGTCAGTGTCAGTTCAGGACACTTAGTTTTTTTGTATAAAAATTAAAACTGAATTAAAAGAAGAAAAAAAAACCTAAACTTAATATCTGAAAAAGAACATAAGAACTCAAGGAGAACATAAGAGAAAAGCAAAACTGTTAAAGAAAAGAGAAGAGTCGGTGTTTTGGAATGAGTCGACGCTTGTGTACTGAACTTTTAGTTTTGTTTACCCAAGGATTAATTGAGAAAATCAGCTAAAAAAATGGACTTAGACAAACACAAGAGGATCAGATGAAGAAAAGGATAGGTAGATACAGTCAGTGTCACTTCAGGAAAGCTATTTTTAAAAAGCTTGTGATTTAATTGAAAGAAGAAACAACAACAAAAAAGCCTAAACCTAGCCTCTGAAAACTAACATGAGAACACAAGAAGTTAAGAGAAAAATAAACCTACTCAAGAAAAGACACAAGACACATTTTTAACTTTTTAGTTTTTTTCCTTCAAAGTTGAAGAAAAAGTTAAAGAGTTGCTTTCATAAAATTCGTGTTATTGGAATTTTTCTAGGTAGATGGCTACTTTAATCTCTAAAAAAGCCAAGTGAAGTAAAAGTATTCAATATGCTTTTTCCTCAAGTTACTTTCCTTCATTTTCTTAAAAAAGAAAAAGAATTAAGTGTTTCTCACATATCTCACATGTAATGAAATTGTGTCTACTTCTGCTCATCAAATTGCTGTGATAATGAATTATTTAATCATGGGAGATAATTTATTTTAAAGGACAGAATTGCCAAGCATTACAAAGTCAATTCTTTGCTTGGTTTTGCTTTAGTGTTGGTGGTATTCAATTGTTGTTTTTCTGTGCTTACATGTCTCCGCTTTCTTCAAGGAATATGTATGAAATAACTTAAACTGATTTTTTTCTTCATTCAGTCTAATTTGCAGTGTATTTTTTGCATTTTCTAGTTCTGAACATGGAAAATGAAACAGTCTATAATAAACTTAGATGAGATATAGTTTTAAAAAGCTCTCAAAATTGCTGATATAAAAAGTCAGTCTATATTCTGGAGATGTTATATTAAAGTGTTTTAATTTCTACATATTGTTTTATGTAAATGATCATTTCCCATCCAAAGATGATTATTCTGGGAATTGGAGGGGCAATACTTAAACAGTTTGCACTTAATACCCCTGGGGAGATCACACAGTGAAGTTGTAATAATTTTATTTTTTCTACATCTTACCTCATAGAAGCTGATATTCAGTCTCAAACTCAGTTTTAGGTTAGGAAAATGTTACAAATTAAACACTTGAAACTGAAGAAGGAAGAATTTGTAAGTGATAAAGGGCCAGAGGATGTTACCTTTGAATTGTTAGATTTTGTCAGTTTTTTTTTTTTTTTACATTGGTGCTCTCTTTATTTATGAGCAGTCCCTCTCGTAAGTATTTGGGATAGTAGAAAGTGTAATGGCCTGTGAATCCAAATTCCAGGATTCTGGTCTCAGTCATATCATCAAGTTACTGTGCGAACTTGTGAGAATACCATTAGAATCCAACTTGAGTCACCAGAATATGAAAAATAGGCTTTAGTATTCCCTTCATGTATTAATTCTATCAAAAAATAAATTTATGCTCCACACAGTGGCTCATGCCTGTAATCCCAGCACTTTGGGAGACTGGGACAGAAGGATCACTTGAGCCCAGGGGTTCAAGAACAGCCTAGGCAGCATATTGAGATCCTGTGTCTATTTTTTAAAAATGACAAATTTAGTTGTTGACATATCTGCATTTAGACAAGGGATTTAATAGTTTTTTTTTGATCTTGCAATTTAAGTAAAATAGTAAGTGTAAGATGAAGCATAGTATCATTGTCTGGGTTTATACCTAGTTGAGTAATAGTCCTAAATAGAGTTAGATGGTTCCAGAATCCTCTTTTCTTCCATGAGACTGTTGTTGTAAGATTATTTTATGGTACAATATCATCCCCCACTCTTAAATACATTTGGTGTATTGGTGAAAGGAAAGGGAAAGAAGAACCAGGGTAGAACGCAGACTGAATTACCAAGCACAAATTGGCTAGTTACCTTTTTTGAGCACACCACGAAATGCAGCATTTTTTCACAAAGAGCAAGATAAGATCAATTGAATTGCCAGCATCTGTTAAATTTTTCACAGAAGTTTATTTTGTGTTTAAAGTTAGGGAGGACTCAAAACTATATCATAAGAATATTCACTAAGATACAAAATTACTCTGATCTTTTTAAAATAAGTAGATGCAATGATTCATAAAAATAACCCATTTTTAAACTATAGTGGATAAATCTTGAAAACTTACAAAATTAAAACCATTTAAATTCGGTGATGAGTAGACAGAGAGAAAAGGATGCAGTATTGATTGCAGTCTAGGGACATGCACCAGTGACTTGCTCTAGAAAAATGGTTTTCAAAAATTTTAAGACAGTTTTTGCCAAAAATAAATTTTACATTGACCTCACCATAAAACAAATTTTACATTAACCTAAAAACATAATTTTCAGGTTGAGGGTGGGACAAGGGTCTGGAGCCCAACATTGGCACTTTTGTTATGCTTCCAACTTCTCTGCCTCTGAGCACTTAGAGGTAAGAATATATGTAAGTCAATATGTTTATGTGTAGGATCCCAAATGATCTCCACTTCTGGAATTAAGTGTTTAATTCACTAAGATGAAATTTAATGATATAAATAATAAATCCTACATTAGATATTTCAATACAAAAACCTATTTGAGGAGACATAATTTAAGATATATGTGAAAGCAGTGTTGAGGATTTTATTAAATGTTTGGTTTGAAAGACTAATATGCTCACCCAGACATAAAATACACATATGGTCTAAGTCAAAATAAGAGAATATTTGGAACAAGTTAAAAGTGTCTAACTTCAGAGATAAATCCTGAAGTGGGTAGAAGATACAGAGAGGCAAGTATTGGCCAAATTTGGAAAATATTTTTCAAAATCGGATCTGTAGAAAAAATAGAATTGACATTCTTGTGTGCATGCATTGATTGAACAAATAAGAGCTGACTGTCAGCACTGTTTCAGGAAGGAACCTGAAAAAAGAATGAACAGAGATTCTGTTTCAAAAAGCTCACAATCCAACAGAGGAAATGGACCAATAAATAGGCAATTACAAAATAAATTTGATAAAGGCTTAAATCAAAGTGATGAAGGATGCTGTGGGCAGAAAGGTAATAAGATTAATGGGATGGGAAGAGGGCATTCAGAAAAGGCTTCCCAAAGGACATCTAAGCAGACTGTTTTCTCTGAGTTTCAAAGACTTATTTGATATATCTACATGGCTATCTAATAGGTGCTGCAAGCTTAATATCGACAAATAGAATGCCTTCTGCCATTACCAATTGTTCATCTAGTTTCCCTTATTTCTGTAAAATCTTTGTCTAATTGCCTAAGCCAAAAACCATTTTTTAGCATCTCTTCTCTCCTACATTAGACCATAAGTGATTCCCCTTGATTATATCACCAAAATATCTCTCAATGTTCAGTTCATCTTCACTGTTATCACCCTAATCTGAAATATCATTATTTCTTGACCAAACTGGGAAAGTAGGTTTGAGAGCAGTTGAAACATTGGAAGAAGTGATTGTGGGTTCTGAATAACAGATTAAAGAAAACTGCACAGAATCATCAAGAGGTCATAGAGAGCTATGGTGAACTAGTCCCTTAAGGATTTTACAACTATCCAGCATATGTTTTCTTCCAGAAGAAAAAAAATACATATACAGAAAGAAAACTGCTTATTTCAGAAATCAAATGAACAGGGAAGAAATATTGTGAGGAAGGGAAAAGTAAAGTTCTGATAAGTAGCAAATGGAGGAAGAATCCAGAGAAATCAAATCCCAGAAAGTGTGATGACAGCAAAATAAACTACTAAAGGTAAGCCTAATACCTTGAGAGACAAGTCCCATAGGATGTGAACATACCAGAAACATACAAACACAAAGCAGATAAAAACTCTGACCTAGTATTTCTAAATGAGCCAAAAGAAAACATTTAAAGCTTTGAAACAGTATAAGTCAGGAAAAGAACCCAGAAATAAACAACAGAAGGTTATGAAACAGAAACAGGACTAAGGAAATAATCATGAAAACAAGAAAAAATCATAAATGAAGATTAACTTGGAAGGAATACATGAGAGTAGAGACTGGCAATGAGACAAATGAAAAGGAAAATTAAGATAATTTTTTAAATTATACTAAAGATTGGTAAAACTAATAGATAAAAGATAGCCAACAGACATAAAATTAAATTCATTGAAATGGAGGCTGTGTTATGCTGCCTAGAACCACTCCCCACCCCTTGTCATATCTTCTCAGGTCAGGGGCACTCACTTCTCTAAATTCTGGAGAATTGGCCTTATCTGAAGGCAACTGACTCTCCTAAGGCTATGCAACACACATCCAATGATGGGATGATGTAGATAGGCAAAAGCCAGACCTCCTGCTTCAATTTTGGGCAAATTTAAAAGGCCACCTCAGTTCCCAAACTCCCCATAGGATCAGCTGAGGCCTTCGTTGTGACTGCATCAGTTCAATTCGTTCTCTGCTATTCTTTCCTTCCGCCTCAATTCACAAGGGTTCTTTTGAGCATGCCCCTATAAATTGTCTACAATCAAATTTTTATCTCATAATTTCCCCTAGAACTTTACCCAAAACAGGTGATAACAGAAGTGATCCTAGAGAACAGACCTCCAAAATGGGATTTTCAAAGAAGGCAATGAGGATTCCATCATTGGTAACAGATAAAATACTCATAGTAGGTGTCCCTGCCATGCTATGAAAAAGTTTAACAACTTTTTCAACTTGAAAGTTGTTAAAACTTTCAAGTTATACTAGTAGAAATGAATGTACATGCAAATGTAGTATCTCAAGTAATTGAGAAGATTAGGGGAAATAGCAATTATATAGAATTTGCTGACTTTTTAGATGCCATTGATACATTGTAGAAAGAAAATGAAAGGCTAAGAAAATGAATGACCAATTGAGGGCAAAATATGAAAGTCAGAAGGCATCCTTGGTAGCATATAAAGAGACTTTCATCTTTTCATCTTATCCCACTTTTTCCTGAACCCACTGAGCTCTAGGATTGTCAAATAAAATACAGAACGCCCAGTTAAATGTGCATTTCAGATAAAGAGCTAATTGTAATAAAAGTGTTACATGTAATACCTTAGTCAAACTTATACTTTAAAAGTTCATTACCTAAAATCTAAATTTAACTGAGTGTCTGTGTATTTATTTATCTTTTTGCTAAACTGGCAACCCAACCCTTTTCTCCCAATTAAGGACTAGCATCTCCTTGCATGAAGATAATATTTTACTCTCTACCTCACAAGACAACTTTCCTCCCCTACCTTCTGCCCCCATCTCTCCTGCTGGCCACTAAACCAGTAACTGATCAAATCACAACTTAACCTGATCTGAGAAGTACTATTATAATAAGGGAAAAGGGAAGGACTATGTCCATTCGAAGGGAAGGAAAAAGGTAGGAAGAGGGTTGGTGTGATTGGGCTCAAAGGTTATATAATTTGTAGCCAAACTGTAAGAACAAGAGGGGTTTCCAGGAGGCTCCCTTGTGTGTGTGTGTGTGTGTGTGTGTGTGTGTGTGTGTGTGTTTGTGTGCGCACGCGCGCATCTTGAGGGGTATTGGAAACGGGGCAAAAATGGACTTCCCGTAGAGGGAACAGCCCATCTGAGAATCTGAGAGTGTATAACAGAATAAGCAAAGGGAGGGTAGGGTTCGACCTGGAGGACTTTGACAAAGAGGTTTATAGTCTTAGCCTGTTTGAAAACAGGATTTGCTATGGTTTAAGTATTTTTTCCCTTCCAAAACTCGTGTTGAAACTTAATCCCCAATGCAATAGAGTTGGGAGGTGTGGCCTAATAGGAGGTGCTTAGGTTATGAGGGCTCTGCCCTCAGGAATTGATTATGTTCACAATAAAAAGGGCTTATGGGAGTGGATTTGCTCTGTTCTGCTCTTCTGCCAGGAGAGGAATATTGTTCATCCCCTCTGGAGGATGCACCATTTAAGGCATCCTCTT